ACCCCCGATGGCACAAGCAGCAACAACGTGAGGTCGGAGTGGAGGAAGTTATAACAAATTGTTGCGAGCTAGAGTAGCAGCGAGCTATGATGGGGTGTTTGGGTACGAAAGCTTGTCTTACGACGTAACATCGAGAGGTCATGGTCTAAGCCACTTGTCGAGGTACTTGAGCTTGGTCCACTCGGGTGCAAGGTATGTGACATTACAAAAATCATTGCCTAGGTCAATAGTGGTCGGATACAAGCAGTACGTGCTGCCACCGAGCCCTCCGTTATCTTTGTTGGAGTTGCCTCCACCGTCGCCTAAGTCGGTTCAAGAATAGAAAGCGAATGCAGGGTTATTTGCGAGCAAGTTGATGTCATGAACGTAATCTGGGATGTTGTTGTAAGTGACGTTATAGCAAGCGATGCAAGCTTAGGAACTACGAGGACACAAAGAGATGTCGGCGATGTCGACACATTGAAAAATGAGGATGGGGAGCTGGAGGTGCAACTAGTGGAGAGCGGACAAATCTAGGAGCAAAGACATATGGAGGATTGAGGCAGAGTTTGTTGAACAAGGCGAGGAGCGGCATGAGGGACTCTCTGGACTTGGACTAGGTAAACAATCCATCTGTCCGGGTATATTCTAGCTAAGCAAAATTTGGTACGTATTTCAACTCTATACACAAGTTTCACATAGTAACAAATATGAAACTTACATCTCAAATTAGGATCTTCAAATCCTAATAAGGATTTATAAATCCTAAATTATAAAAAATAAAACACATATTTTTAAAAAACAAAAACATTTATAGAAGTCTTTAAGACAATATAAGCCTTGGCAAAATTTCAAAATAGAAAAACAGTGATAAATTGAGAGATATTTAGGATCAAAAACCTCTAAGACACTCTTGTTACCCTAAACTCTAAACCCTAAATCCTAAAACCTGACTTCACTCTTGCCTTCATATATACTATGTAATCAAGAGCTACATGTTGACATTTTCAAAGACCTCCAACACATATCCAATTTACAAGATACATATTTAACTTGTAAGATAAGTTTCCTATATATGCGCTATATAGCCAATTTCCAACACAAGTTGGCAACATGTAAGACATAAGTTGCCACCATGTGTAACATATGGCTAATTTATTGGCTAAGTGTTCAATCTACTAATTAACTACAAACATGTATAAAATAAAACTTATACCATTAAAACTTCTAAAAAGCTATACCAAAAGTCATTCATATATATATATATATATATATATATATTTTATCTAATACTTATTATCTAAGTAATTTTTTATGTTTGTAACATTTAGAAGTATATAAATAATAAATTTATATCTTTTTTTTATAATTTATATAAATATCTTAGCTCTAATAAATAAAGATGAAGATGGTTTGCTTGTATTTAGACTAAATCTTAGAATGATCTATTTTAATTTTCAATAAATATCAAAATTATGTAAGTTAAACTAATAATGACCAAATATTATACATTATAAGAATATTTTTTAATATTAGATACAATATCAAATATTTGATGTCATAATGTTACTTTTAATGGCTTAGTTTCTTCTATAATATCTTCAAATGTAAGTGATTGTCGATCAATAACTTGAAGAATAAGCTAACTATGTGGCAAACATATAGAAAAACTTGCCTTGTAAGTCAAGACATATTGCATACAAAGTCAACACATATTAGAGGTCCTATAGAATATTGCTACACATCCCCTAGTTAGATAGTATATATAGAGACAAGAGTGAAGCCCTCTTCATTCTTATCAACTCTTTTCTTACTTCTAATTTAGTTTCAAGAGTTTCAAGTTTTCTTGTCTTTTAGCAATAAGCCATTCCACTTTGTTTTTAATATATGTACTTCCTTATTTCTATTTTGTCACTTTTTCTTTGACACGGATTTCATTGATTTATGCATTACCTTCCAATTCATATCCTTGACAATTAGTGAATGCACATGAGAGCCAACTAAGAATCTTGCAAATACAAAAAAGAAAATTGATTCTTTTTATCAATAATATCCATTAAAATTAAGATAAAGAATAACAAAACTTTGCTATAATAAATGTGGTTCATGAAGGAATGCATTCTATCTCGTATCTCTGTTTGTAGTTTTTGTGGATTTGTGGCACTAAGTCAATTAATGCATGCAATGGCTTAAAAATTAAATTATTCTAATCAATATAATTTTAATATTGTCAAGAATAAATCTTTAATATTAAATTTTAATTCATAACAAAATTGATTGATAAGAGATTTGTCATTTTAATCTATATTGCAAACAAGATTTTGGAATTTAATACATATATGGTGGCTAAATGTGGTTTATATTATAAAAATAGAAATTTAGACTTTATTATTATTCTTTAATTATTTTTTCTAAATATAGATATAAATAATTCTATAAATAAATTAAGATCATAAAAGTATCATGAATCCTTGTCCATCAAAGGTGCAATCAAAAAAGAATACTTTGATATAAAAATATATCTTTGAATCCAACTTGAGTAAATCCATCAACATATTGGAAAACATGCAATCTTAGATAGAGCTTTATTTATTGTAAGTATTGTCAAAATTTTGATCTTATTCCATCAAAATTCTCTCGCATACATATTTTTGCCTCCTTCATACTTATAATAGTAAGATTTTTCTAATTCAATTATAAGATTAATCTACTTTTTTTTTCAATAATATTATTTCTTAGCATAGACTTTGAATTTTATTATAAATTTCTATCATATGTATAAAAATAGTATTTCTATGGTTGATATTGGTAATATGTGAGATTTTTACTTTGAAAGTATTAATAAACTTGTGAAGATTTATATTAATTATAAATCTATTTTTACTTTTTTAAAATTTAGCATTCATAATTTTTCTTCCATCTTAGTAAAAAATGACTTCATTAAATCTATAAGTTGAATTAGAGGAGGATAATTTGTAACTTCTAATATCAAATAAAATTTTCTATAAATAATGATAGTCCACTATTTTAAAAAAAAGAATCAATGTTAGAAGACAAAAAATATTAATTTAAAGGTAATAGTCCTCAACCTTCAAAGTACAATAAATAAAGTAGGATAATTCACTCACTTATAAAACAAAATAAAAAAAAATGAATCAATACTATTTTTAAATGATAAAGATATGAATCTTAAATAATAAAATCCTCAATATATTCTTATTTCATTTTTAAATAATACGTAATGACTCAAAAATAATATGATGTTATAATTAAAATGATTATTGCCAATGATAAAAAGATTATAGACTCTTGAAAGTGGACTAAGAACAAAAAAGCCATCATGTGCAACATATGGCTGATTTATTAGCTAAGTGTTCAATCTACTAATTAACTACAAACATGTATAAAATAAAACTTATATCAATAAAGCTTTTAACATATATATATATATATATATATATATATATCTTCTATCTAACACTTATTATCTAAGTAATTTTATATATTTTTGATATTTGAAAGTACATAAATAATAAATCAATATCTTTCTTTTATAATTTATATAAATACCTTAGTTCTAATAAATAAAGATTGAGATGGTTTGCTTATATTTAGACTAAATCTAAGAATGATCTATTTTAATTTTTAATCAATATAAAAAATATGTAAATTAAACTAACAATGATCAAATATTATAGATTATAAGAACATTTTTTAATATTAGATACAATATCAAATATTTGATGTCATAATGTCACTTTTAGTGGCTTAGTTTCTTCTATAATATCTTCAAATCCAAGTGATTGTCCATCAATAACTTCTATTAGAATCAATAAAATCTTCTTTGAAACTATTATTTTTTGTTGTAATACAAAGTCTCTATCCATAAAATATATTGAGGCTTTAGTGTCTAAAATTTCTTGAGCTAAAAATTAACCACTTAAGTTTTTTATAAAAATAAGAAGTTTGAAACAAATTATAAGATCTAGTAGTAGCATGAGATTTAGATTTAATTGTTGTAATTTAGAATAATCTGATTACAAGGTCTCTATTGCAACTATACATCTTTATTTTTTAACTTTTCTAGATTTGAGCTTGTACTCATTTCCTTAAATCTACTTAATTTGATGTAACATTTTTATACCTTATGACTTATTTTTCTACAATATAAATGTAAGATTTTAGAACATTATTTGTATGTTTCTTCTAATATTAATTGTTTGACTTGAATTAAATGAATTTTAAAAAATTATAGCCATAATGTGTAGATTTATGAGAATTTAACAATTGTAATTATTACTTGTTTCATTCATCTTCAACCAAATCATTGTTCTTGGTGTCTTTCAAAGAGCCAATAGTTACATGCAATTGCTTGAGTGATAAATTATTCTATTGAATCTACTTTCAATATTGTCAATAATTTTTTTTATTCATATTATTAAATTAATTAATATTTAATTATATATTTTTATATATTTTTATTATAATTATTATATATATCTTTAAATTGTTTTTAATATTTCATTATTTAAAAATAAGTTTATACTACATTGAAAATAATAAGTAGCAAAACTTAAAATTGGAACCAATAAATCACTAATAAAAATATTCAGGCTAATGGTTTGAATTTTTTTACAAAGCACATATTAAACTTATTGTGGTTTAGAGTAGTTTCTATATAATAGTTGAATTTATGTTATTTTTAATCAATTTTTTTTTTGATAGATTGTTGTTTAATAATTCATCTCCAATTAAGGTGTTTTTATGGAATTTTAAAATAAATATACTATAAGATATTTCTGTCTCATTGTCAATTGTTTGGAATTTAATTTTTATAATCATGTAAACTTTGAAAGGTTCTTATACTCGTTGTCTGTATTATACCGTTCGTTCGTTCGTTCGTTCGTTCGTTGCCTTCGTTCAGTGGCATTGCGGACGTGGGGGTGCTCCCTTCGATTCATCCTCGTGGGTTTCGTTGTCATTTCCTCCCTGACTTGGCGACACTTCTATTGGTTTAGGTTTAGGGTTTCGGGGGTCTGGCTTCGACCCTTGTGGTTTCATGTTGTTCCCCTCCAACCTTCGTGATGCTAAATTCGCATCGTGGGGAGGAATACAGTGTTTGCTTGATTGAAGCACCTGTTGGTGTCCATTTTCAAGCCACTGAGTTCTATCTAAACCTCCCCTTGAAAGATTTGTTCGAATAGATGGAGGACGATCGCAATCTGGACTTAGGGCATGTGGCGTGCGTGCGATGCAGCAAGGCTGCTCGTTTGCAGTAAGTATTTTGGGTGTTATTTTTGGATTATGTTTGTGCGCAAGTAGATATTACTGTGGCCATTTTTTCCTGTGGCTGTCGTTTGTATTTTGTTTGCGTTTGATCCAAGTTTACGTACCCACCCGTTGGTGCAGATTGAACTTTTTTCGGATTAATTGGGTGCGTAATGATGGAGAATAGAGTGCAAGCGCACAGCGATAGCTAGGGAATCTGATGAGATGCACAATTGAATAACGATACTGCAGTGGATACTTTGACTGAAAGTCATAATAATTCAAATGTGTTCGAAATCATGCAGATTTTGTCTTTGGATGTTTGTTGAGATTTGAGTTTTCGATGAGCAGCTGTAAATTAATTGTGTAGATGCCGTTCCTTCAGTGAGTATTCGCGGATAGGAAAGTAATGGATAAAAACTTTTCACACATGTTTCTAGGTACTTCGAAGTGGCTTTATTTTTATTGACAACCAGTCTAGTTCAAACGGGAACTTGTTGAGTTCCCGGAACAGTACTACACGAAGTTCTGAAGACAACTCTTTTGCGGACTTGCCTGTTTTGATATTCAGTTTTATGTATTACAATTTACTGACTACTATCTGATGTATTGCAGGTGCCCGAAGTGTTTAGAGCTTAAATTGCCGCGTGGCAATGCGTCCTTTTGGTACAGTTGTGATTTCTTACAAAGTTACCTGGACTTTTTTGAACCTCAAGATATGAGCAACGCCTTTTATTTAGACTGTATCAGAAGTCAAAAAAACGTTTCACAGAAATGTAGAGAAATCTGGAGAATGTCATCCACAGTCCTTCCATGGAAAATACATCATTTCTCGTCGGACCTCTGATAAGGGCGTTGGGGCAGTTCGCAGGGTTGTTTTAAGGAATCATGGAATTCACACAAGGCTGTTCATACTGCGTTGAGTCAAAAACAAGAGGGTGAGACTCATGGTTTGCAGGATCCACATGCTGACGCTTTGGCTCGAGGGTGGATGTATTGCCTCCGGAAGGGCCAAAGTCGAAGCTCGGAGTTGCCAAATTTCGATTGGACAGGGTAAGCTGACTTGGTAGAAAGTTGTTTGCATGATGCTATCTCCTTTATCAAGCTTCTGATATGTCTGCCTACTAATATAATTTATTACCTTTGTTCAGACCTTTAAGAGCATATCCAATATCACCTCGACGCTTTGTCCCCGACCACATTCCCCGTCCTGAATGGGCTTCAACGGTTGTCCTATTCCCCACCCGATCAGTGTGCTGTGTAGTTTAACGTTTATTTTTGTGAAACACTGGCCAATTCAGGTGCGTACATAGTAGCAGGGTACTGCATATGTAGCAATGATGGATCTTAGATTTCACCTTAGATTCAATTGCTGTTACCAAGTAGGTCTCATCGTTTTTGGTGAATGGTGTGCAGGGCAGACCCCAACAAGAAATGAACAGTGAATGGCAGAATAGTGTAGAGGTAATTATCCCGACGTATTCAATCTTACCTTACACCTTAATTTACTTATTAAACATCTGTGTGACCCGCGATTCTACTTCGGTCTTATCTTTCGAAATTATTGCTCTAGTGTCTATCAGACGTCGAGTTTCAGTTAGAGGAACAATTGATCAGGTTGATATTTTTATCAATTATGTCTATTGTGTTTCTGAGCATTGTGATTTCTTTCACAGATTAAATCTCCAGCACAGATAGCCAAACTGCGAGAAGCTTGTAGGGTACGCAACGTTTTTAGATCCAGAGTTCAACTTCATCTTACGTTCTTAATTTTTTGTCTATTTTGTGACATATTTTTTATCATTATTCTCCTTTATGTTTCTCTTGATATCCAATCACTCTGGTCATGGTGTTGGTATTTAGAATGTCTTGTGCTTTCCTTCACAATGCAGACCTGAACCTAATGATAAGCACTTAATCTTGAAACTGTTGTGGTATTGTGGTAGTCTAGGGCAAAATTGTGACTGGGTTGTGTCCAAGATTATCCCTGTGCCCAAATTTTACCTCTTTATGCTTGAGATCAAACGGAGTTTATTTCTTGTAGTATTTCCTCGATCTCCAAGTTATTTGCAGAAACTGTAAAAGAAGGAAGATGGTAGAGTAATTTGGTGTTGTGTTATGTGGTTAGGTTGGAAGAGAAGTGCTAGATGTAGCAGCAAGAGCAATCAAGCCAGGAGTGACAACTGACGAAATAGACAGGATTGTGCATGAGGCTACAATTGCAGCTGGTGTAAATCATTTCCGTTCTGTGACTGCTGTGGTCAAACATGTTCTTGTTGTTTTCTGAAGCTTGTTTTTCTAATATATTGGAGTCTTTTTTGTGTTGCACATTTTTTTAGTCATTTACTTGGATGCCACGTAGAGTAATATTGTTCTGGAGCAAACCAAAATAATCATTTATTTACTTTTCTTGTCCTTTTTGAATCATTTTCAGTTTTAATGCGTAGTATGTCTTGTAGGAGTAAGTGGGAAAGAGGTATGATCAGCGTCATCACTGACACTATCCTTTCAAATTGCAGGTGGCTACCCTTCACCTCTGAATTATCACTTCTTCCCAAAGTCTTGTTGCACGTGAGGCATCAGCTCTCATATTCTTCCCTCACGTTCTTCTCTTGAACAAAACATATATGACTTGCTACATTCCTGAACAAATATGCTTACCTGTATACTGTATTTCTAAGACTCATAGGTCAATATCTTATTTGGCTTGGTTGGTAGGTCTGTAAATGAAATAATCTGCCACGGCATACCCGATGCAAGGTAAATCTCAAGGCCTTCTTTTTGAAGCACTAGAGCCTTGCTGAGAATAAGATGTTTCCAAGCGTTAAATTTTCTTCACTGTAATCAGAATTATTGTCTATGTCTTCATGTTCATTATTTTATATCTGGGTGCTGCTTAATCCTGCTAAATTTCTGCAGACCGTTGGAAGAGGGTGACGTCGTCAATGTGGACGTTACAGTCTATCTGAATGGCTGTCATGGTAAAGCTCTGGTTGTTGTGGCTGGCTTTAATGTGATCAGCAAATGCTCCTTATGACCTCTTTATAAATCATTATTTTCATATTTTGCTGTCATTTTCTTTTGTCTACATTTAATAGATAATTTACACTTTCACCTTTATTCAAAACATATAATGAGCCGATTCCAGGCATATGCAGGACTTATGCTTGGAAGAGAAAATTTGTGAAGCTGAGCCAGCTACTTGGTTGAACAGGGGATTTAAACGAAACTTTCTTCGTTGGAAAAGTAGACAAAGCATCGGAAGATCTTGTGCGGAGTACCTATGAATGTCTTGAGAAAGCCATCGCTTTAGGTTTTCTTCTAATCCTGCCTTCATATTGTAAACTTTATTTTCAAATTGAATGTGTTTTGCGTGTGTTGCTGTTCGGCTGTCCCAAATATGGAAACATATCTTAATAGATTCTTTCAAATCTATTTTCTCTGGTTCACTGAGTTCATGCGTGTTCAGAGTAACTTGTAGTATATTTCACACGTGAGTCAGATACTAGAAATCTGATTTACTGGTTGTATACTAGATCTTTTGACAGCATGGTGCTCCACGATTTTATTATTAATATTATTATTGTTATTATTATTGTTTGAAAAATAGTTACTTTGATTTTTATTTTCATTTACTTTCGAGAATGTTAGACATGGTTTTACCTGCATCTATTTGGAAAGTCGACTTTTACGTGAAGTTTATACGAATCATTCTTTATTAAATCGAAACATATTTTTATTTGCTTGTTGCTGAACCTGCCTGTGGCATGTGCACAGTGAAGCCTGGAGTACGTTATCGGGATGTTGGTGAGGTTATCAGTAGACACGCCTCGTTGAATGGCCTCTCTGTGGTACTGATGATATTCCCATTTTCTCTCTTCGATTAGGAGATGCTTCTGAAAAGATCTCTGCTGAAGCTTGTGGATTATCATGAACCTTGACATAATTCTTTTTGTGGTATTTGAAAAGATATAGGAGCATATAGGGAGCAACGAGTTGCCTTGAAGACAAAACTGCGGTCAATCGAAATCTAACCACATCTGTTGTGTGCAGGTGAAGTCGTACTGTGGTCATGGAATAGGAGAGCTTTTTCATTGTGCACCTAACATTCCACACTATGCTCGTATCCTTAATTATTGTATTTATGACTGTCCTGAGGTTCTGATGCTTTGAAGTAATACCATATGTAAAATATGAATTGATCAATGGTTTATTGGTGTGTTTTTCTACGTTTCATGTATGGCTCATGCTCTTGGTTGAACTGGATTTGTGTGCTCCAGTTGAGGTTCTTTTGTAGTGAAGTTTCTCTGGGTAAATTGAAGTGTCGCCTTAACCATTATTTATTAGGCAACAAAGCTGTGGGAGTAATGAAGGCAGGACAAGTCTTCACAATCGAACCCATGATTAATTCTGGTCAGTACATGATAAACTTCTTTGCAGCCTATGATAAGATTAAACTGTTAAACAGTATTCTTGTGAATTCTCCAATTCAGATGGCTCCATGCAGTATTTATCACCTTCTGTACTGCGTCTCATCGGCACTAAATGTCGATCTCTTTTCAGGGTCTCAAGTTGGTTTAAGCTTCATGAACTCATTTTAATCAAGGCTTTACTAGATGTGCTACTTAGATACCAAATTGATAATCAACTTAGGATGAAATGAAATGAAGCAATGGAAAGATCTTGTCAAAAGCTTCCAGAATGACAATTTCCTGATTTTGCAGCAAAAACAATTTGTTTACGTTTGTGTGTGTGTGTTATATTATTTTATATTTTATATTTTAAAATGAGTGAATGGATAACTTTGCAATATCATCAGGTGTCTGGAGAGATAGGATGTGGCCAGATGGGTGGACTGCGACTACTGCAGATGGCAAGCGCAGCGCGCAATTTGAGCATACGCTTCTGGTATGCAGCACTATTTTCTTTTGCTTCTTAAAATCTTTCACTCATCATTGCTGCTCGTCGACTTCTTGTCTTTGGTCCCATTTACACTATCAAGCCTAGTGAATTGACTCTTACTTTTTGTTTTGAAGGTGACGGATACTGGAGTTGAAGTTTTGACAGCTCGTCTCCCAACATCACCCGATGTGTTTCCTTGGTTAAAAGATAGTTCTCAAACTGTGGTTTGAATAATTAAGTAAATGGTACTGAACATGAAGTTAGGGTTGAATCCAAGGCCTTACACAAATGCCGGGTACTGTGTAATAGGAATTGGATTGTAATAGAAAGATCTAGTATTCAATATATATTCTAGAATCTATCTGGGACCGACCTTCGTACGACATTATGGTTTGTGGACGAAACTGTTCTGTCTGTAATCTCTACATAGATCTGGACTGATGTGGGATGTGGGATTGTACTTGTGCTAAAAATCTACAGTCTACTAATCCAATTTACATTCTTTTATCAATATAAGTTTGATGTTGACATCTATATGTATACGTATATACACATGTAGTTTTCTCTTTAAAAATTAACCCCTCCCCCCCCCCAAAATTAATAATCTCCAATAATTAATCAAAATTTTGGAAATTGACTTTGTTCTAAGGTGCATAATCAATAATCTCTAATTTTTATTAATTAATTGATTTTCATTGACACTTATTAAGTAACAAAGGTAAAAACTTATAAATGGTTGGGTGAGACAAGGCTATGTGGCTACCAAGTCAAAAGCATGCATCCTAGATTGTAGGATCCTAGCAAAACTAATTTCCATCCTACCATTATAGTAGCACCAGTTACTTTCTCATGTTGGTACTTGGTTGTACAGTCTTGTCCTTGGTGTCTTCACCTTTGATAATTAATAATTTTGTTTTTCAATAGATGGTATTGATTAACAAGGGACAACTATATATATATATATATACATGTATATTTATCTATATATGTTACGACATGATAAGGTCAAACTATTGTTTTATTAATACAAAGTCTAATTTTTTTTTAAATATTTTTAATTTTTTTGCTTTATTATTTTGCAAACATTAAAAACACATTAAATGTCAAATGCACAAGAAAAGGACAATGAATGTATTATTAGTAGAAGTTAGACATTAGTAAAATATATTATATTTTAAAGAAATATTTGAATAGCATTTTATTTTTATTTCTTCACAAGAATATTTTGGAAGTATAATATCAAAATATAAAAATGAAATGACACCTAGTGTTTCATATTTCAAAAAATCTACTTGAAACATATATATATATATATATATATATATATACATTAAATACATTAGATATAAAATTAAAGGCCTATTATTTTTGACTTTAATTAAAAAGTTATATAAAGTTGTTAATGAGCATGATAATTTTAAAGTTTATATTTACAATTCTATAGATATTTGTGTAGATTTACAGATAAAAACAACTATGGTATTATAATTGGAGGTTTGTTTTATTTATATTATTTTTTGTATTTTAGTTTATTGACAAGATTGCATTATAAAACCATGTGATTTTAAATATAATATCTTGTTTTATTTGTACCTAATAAGTATACTATTATTATATATAAATATTAATTAAATATTATTATATGTATATAGCAATAAAATATATAGTATATATTATATATATGGTTAGTTAAAATACTAAATGGTTAGTTAGCATACTAAATATAATATATATATATATATATATTATAAGTAATTATATCTTATTTTATTTGTACCTAATAAGTATGCATAATAAAGAGATAATGACCAAAGCAAATTAAATAAGTATGCTATAATAGCATCAAAAGAGATATTTGGATTGTGGAAGTACACCTATATATTTAATATAAGATCTTAAATTATTGGACTTTCAACCCAATGTAAATAGAACAAGTAAAATATAATCTTTTAAAATGTAAGTAAAAATAATATAATTTGTCTTTTCTAATTAAATTTCCTATTTTATTTATTTTATTTTTGATATTTAACAATGCAATTTTTAAACATCAATGTGGAACAAATAAAATGCTTTATATTAGATATAATAAAGTAATACATAGGTGATACTTTATTTTGAGTAGAAAGTACATTTGTAAAGGGATTTTAAAATTAAAAATTTATGGATTAAAACAATATTTAGATAAGTTACAAATTCTATTATTACAAAAAAATTTACCTTGATTTTATAATCTATTATATACTAAAAGTGATAAAAATTAAGCGGCATTTAAAATATCTATGCAATTGCTATAAAATTTGAAGTATTTGAAAGCATTTGTGGTACTTTTAAGTAGTATTATGAATATTAAAATATTATAAAATCAAGTTATAATTTTTTTGTATACAAATTATAAAACATGGCCTTTATAAACATTGAGATTTGAATTTAAACTTTAAATTTTATAAAAACATCTATTTTATAAAAATACTGTTATTAAAAATACTAAATGTATTTATTTCAATTTAAGTAGATTACATGTTGATGCTGTATTTATGTAAATTATTATGACATGAATTTAAAAGTCAATAATAAATACAAATATTTAATATAATTTATATAAAATCATGAAATTTAAAAATAAATAAGATATTCAAAATATCAATCTCTTTTAATCACACTATACAAAATTTTATTAGATAATTCCAAAACAAAAATCAAAGTTGAAAATTGATTTAAATTTTGACTATAGTGGGTTTGTGCCCATGTTTATTTACTCAAATTATGTTATGTATATATATATATATATATATATATATATATATCTATATGTATATATAAATATATATATCACAATCAAGATTTTTGTCTTAAATTAATTAGATCAATAAATTACTTGTTCCGTTGCCAGGATTCATTCCTTGAGTGAGTGAGTGAGTGAGTGTGTGCAATATATAATCAAGCTCATCTCCATCCTTAAGAACATCGCATCTCTTCATCCAGCTTCCTCTACAACCATTAAACATTCGACCACAAGTGAAGAACCAACCACACACATCGCTCATCATTTTCCGCCTACTACCACTTCCTCCTTTTCTCTCGCTTGTTAATTTTTATTATTTCCATTCAAATCCAGTACATTCCTATGCTGCAAGATGGAAGTCTCACTTTGTTTCGCAATTGAACAGTTTAGGGTTTAAGGTTTAGGGTATATGTTCCAAAGAATAACAATAGATATAAAAACAACACCTTGACTTTGAGTGCCTATATCTCCTTTACAAAAACTCCAAATTATACAAAATTTATACCAAAATTATATATTAAATTTTAAAATTAAAATCCTTGATCTTTGATATTCAAATCTCTATAAAAGAATATTTCTAATTCCTAATAAGGCCTTGGATAGCCTCCTTAAAATCCATTAGGCATGACATTTAACTAATAGGAATAGAGATTTTCATCATCCATCTCTATTCATCCATATATTTGGCTTAATTATCCCTTTTTATACAAAAATCCTTCTCTAATGTTTTTTTTAATAAGTTTTACATAATATGTGAACTAAATATTAAATAAAAGTAATAAAATAAAATTTTAAGGAGGTGACTATTAGACACCAATGTCTAATAAAAATAAATCCTAAATTGTTGTTTTAATTGGTAACTATTAGACATCAATATCTAATAAAATTAATTCTAAATACATATAACTTAAGATAAAACTGAAAAGAGATAATGTATGAAAAACATCTATATAGATTTCCTTTTAGAAAATGCCATTGAAAAAAACTATCTTTCCATTTATTTAATGGATGTAGAAGTTGTGTTTGGCAACAAGAATTAATATTAATTGAATAGATTATATACAAACTACTAGAGAGAATATTTTTATTTAGTTAAGGCTATAAACCTAATTGAAATTTCTCTCAACCAATCAGGCTTTGTAGCAGTTGATAGATCTTGAGATTTTTAAATTAATCTTAAAAATCTACTTACAGGTGATGAGGCACTAGTTTGGTAGTAACTTGGTGAAGACCAACGTTCCATTGGTAGTATACAAGTTGAGCTCTTTTGCAATGGTATGATTATAGTGGTAAGCTTTGAGTGAATTGATAGCTTGTTTGTAATTCATGGACTACATAAGAATGTCAAAGAGAATATATAAGATTTTTTTTATAGGATGTGGGCTTGTAGAGAAGAGCTTGAGATTTTGAAAAATTTATATCATAGTTTTTAGCATGGTCATGTAATGGAGGTATTTCTTTTTTTAGACAAGAAAAAATATAATATAGAAGTATGGGAGAAAAATTAGATAAGTAATCTTTAGTGAATACATTACTAATTCCATATAGAGAATCAGGGCATAGATATGATTGTCAAGGCAAGAAGGCATGATGGTTGATATGTGACATAAATTTCAGTTCCAAGTAAGTATTGTAGAATTCGCACAAACTAGAGCCATGATGGTGTCTTGATGATGATAGAAGAAGTATTGGAGGTGCATCAACTTTATGCTCAAGTTTGAGTAAAAAGACAAATTTGAATCCTAATAGAAGATAAACAAAAGAAGTTGGTCCCAAGTCAGTAGGAAGAGGCACAATTTCAATAGAAAGAAAAATACTTGGCATGGACACAAGCCTGAGTGTAGATACAATCAAGGACAATGAGATAGCTAGAGCATTAAAGATGGCAGTAGAGGTTGTGTTGAAAAAGTCAACCATGGTGGAAAGTAGAGAACTGGAAGGCATTAGAGTTGAAAGACTAGTTCCAAAAGAAACATTGTCAGAAAAGAACAGTGGCATTAATTGAGAATTGGTATCAACAACAATAAGTGTTGTAGTTTGATTTTTGAAAGGGAGGAATTTTTCTTAAAAGAATACAAGAAAAGAGACTTTGATACTACCTATAGTTTTATTTTGAAGTTTATAGGCCTTGTTGAAAGAGCTATAATCTAAAAAAATATATTTGCAAGATTTTTCAGTGAATTTGATTTAAAAGAGATCAAGGATTTTTGCAAAGCATGTGTGAAATGAGACTGGATTATCTCTAAGATCTAAGATACTTTCAATCTATAGAAATATAAATCTTGTCACAACATAGGACAACATAGATCAAAACAAAATTGAATAGCACTAAATAGAATAGAACATGAAAGATAGAATTGAAAAAAAGAGAATAAAATAATATTGAATAAAAAAGTACAAAATTAAACTTCAATAAGAGAAAGAAACCAAAGCCATACTTGACCAAATATCCAAATTTCCCTGGATAATCCTATTTATATTTTATATTTTATCCAACCATCTTGGAATTTTTTCCAATTTTTTTAATAGTGGGCTTCACTTAAATAACAGCCTTAAGGTCTTTTTAGAATGTTTTATGGTAGATCCTAAATAAACCACCAA